TTAAAAGTATACCCCAATTTACAACCCAGCTCCAAGATCCTGAAAAATAACTGATAGTAATGTTGGCTAATGTTTATATAGCTATTTCTTTTTACTTTATATTCCTCTTAAAAATGAAAATACCAGCTAGGCATGGTGGTGCACGCCTTTAATCCCAGCACTCAGGAGGCAGAGGCAGGTGGATCTCTGTGAGTTCAAAGCCAGCCTGGTCTACATAGTGAGTTCCAGGACACCTGGGGCTACAGGGAGACCCTGTCTCAAAAAGGCCAAAAAAAAAAGAAGAAAAGAAAATACTGAGCTTTTATTTTCATATATTTTACATTTATTAGAGAACATAGCAAGGCAGTTTAAAGGAAGTGGGTGACCCTTGGATTCAGACAACCAAAATTTCAAATCTCAGCTCTAACATCTATTTGTTATATAAACTTAATGCTCGGTACTTCTGTCTTCTCTTAAAAATACTTAGTAGAGTTGTGAGCATTAGTGTAACCAATATTCACTCTAATATAGCCATCAATAGTGTCAGTTATTCTGACCTACAGAAATATGAAACATCCTTGGAAATATACAATTTTAGAGGATGATAAAGCATGGGACATTATGTTTTTATTTTGTGTTTCAGTCATTCAGTGTGTATAAAAACCCATATGTGTGTGTCTAATATATATGAGCCCTATTTTACATTTGTATGTCACTTGAGACTAAAACAGAAAAAAATGTCTGTCCTTTACATTATTATGGTGGGAATGACTGGGTGCTGTTAAAGGCTGTGAAAAAATTAAGGATGCCATATGGAATAAGAGGCCGGGAATGGGTAGCAGTAGTGAATAGAAATTTCAGGGCAGGCCTCATTGTAGATGTTACACTGTTCTTTTTTATATTTTTTATTTATTATTTTTATTTTATGTGTATGTGTGTATTGCCTGCATGTAGGTAAGTGCACCCGTGTCGTGCAATGCCTGCGGAGATCAGAAGAGCCTTTCAGATCTCCTGGAACTGGAGTTACAGACAGTTGTTAGCTGCCATGTGGGTGCTGGGATTCAAACCTGGGTCTTCCATAAGAACAAACAGTGTTCTTAAGCTTTGAGTCATTTCTCCAGCCCCATGTTGTTACACTGTTCTTAAAGGTTTTCCTGAACTGCCTCTTAGAATGGGTGGACGGAAAGAAGAGAGATGAGAGTAGAGAAGGGAGTGAGAAAGAGCTTGTGGTTTTGTAGGAGAGCATGAGAATTTCTTTGGTGTAGCATGTCAAAACACAAGCTCACATGGAAGAGAGAAACTCCAGATGCCCTCATTTTATTTTATTCAGTGGGAGTAAACATCTTCTTCAGATGTTGTGTACACACCCTGCTTTCCCAAATGTGGTTGCTGAATACGGTCCACCTGGTCTGTGACCACAGGAGGAGGTCATTACCATGACTCATGTTTGTTATTGGACTATCTTTAAGCAAGTCCCTTGGGGTCAAAGGGCTGTTCTCCATTATTGGTTCTTGAAATGGCTTGAACTGTAGAGACTGTGAACTCTGCCTATCTGTGGTTATTTAAATGTAAATAAGTATTAATTATTATGAAAAGGCATTAAAATTTAGTTTCTGTTTCACATTAGATATATTTCAAGTGCTCAGTGGCCACATATGGCTAGTGTTTATTATTCTGCATGTTGTTGTCTCTGGCTTGTGCGTGTGTGAGTGTGTGTGTGTGTGTGTGTGTGTGTGTGTGTGTCTGTGTGTCTATGTCTGTGTATGTGTGTGTGTGTATGTATTGCTCCTGTCAAGTTTCAGATCGTTTCCTTTTGATTTGTTGTTTAAATGATTAGATACAGAATGTTGTATAAAGGAAGGGTTTATGCTCCAACAGAGATGAGGCAAATGTTCTTATGTTTTAGAACCTAAGCTTCTATACCAGAAATTTATATTTAGATTCTGACTGTCCAGTTGGACCTTTGAGTTATTGATTTGCAGCTGTGTACTATGCAAAGGAGAGCCTATGATAAGGGAGCCAAATTTCTGAGTGACTATGGGAAAGGGCTATCAAATTTTAAAGGAAAGTTGCACACCCAGAACATACTTCAGAACTAGAAAATAATCTCTTATTTGGACCAGTGCTATTAAGGGAACATACATTAACCAACTATGTACATATACTGGTAAGCACTGTCTTAGTTTCCCCTAAATAAATATGGCCCCAAACCTCAAGCAGACCATGTTTAGGCAGTAAAGAGAGCCCCAAGCAGTTTCTAGCACACTGCTATACTCAGTGTTCCCTAAACATCCTGAGGAGACTGAATACAGTTGGGTCTTCCCAGCAGTGGGAATTAGGAGGCAGGACAAAAAACAGGCAGCCAGAGAATGCTTCCTAAAGTGGAGATTTAGAATGCTATCCTGGTGGATAAGTGAATTGTTTTCATGATGAAATTGGGAGAATGGGGTCCATAAGATGTGATGTATCAGAGTATGAACAAAGACATCGAGGAGAGAGATAGCAGGGAAAGAAAGAACACTTAAGATCAGTATTGATGAAGTTTAAAATAAAAGCAATCTGTGTCTGTAGAGGTAGATGGACTTAAAATGGTAGGCTGAAAGGTGAGTAAGTCTCCAGCAGAGGTGGGATAGGGACAGAGTGATGGTGCCCTCAACAGATCTGACCTCTCAGTTGTTTATGTAGTCCTGTCTGGTAGCTCTGTGGAGATTTGATTCGAGTGAGCTGAACTAGGGGCTGGGATGCCAGTGATGGTGAAAGTGTTGGGAAAGCAGGGTTTATAAAAGACCAAAAGAGTTAATTAGGGAGGACCTGATATGGGAGTGTAGTGGGCTGGGACAGGAGACATGGGCTCAATCAGTGCTGATTTCTAAGAGGTGTTTGAAAGGTGGTTAAATGAATGAGATGAAAGAGACAAGTGAATCAGAGTGGACTCGCTGTTTTCAGGAAAATACATTAATTCAAACTCTTCTTCCAAGTCCATGGTAAGAGGCTTTGCCCTCTAGGTGTTATAAATGATTTCCTTGGGCTGTCCAGCTTGGGTTCTGGCTCTTCAGGACTCCACTCATTCATGTATTAAAGGAATTTGAAGTGCACATCTTAATGAAGTGCCACCTTTCTATGAATTTAATTTTGAAAATTTATAGAAATTTAGCTTCATTTCTAGTAGTTTTAATTCAGATACCAAGATTACCCCATTGCTTACACATCATGTCGATAAACCATTGAACCTTTAATTTATTAGGTAAACCTGAAATCTATCTACAAAATTTCTGTCTATGCTAACAATAAAAGCAGTCAAACTTCAAGGTAAGTCTGGGTTTCAGAACCACAAATTTGTCTAGCTGAATCCTTATTTGTGCTTCTAATGCACATTTATCATGTGGAAAAGCTGTTAGTTTCTTACTTTACATAATTACACACTGCTTTTTTTAAGATTACAAGTTAAGTTCTGAGTTCTGAGTGTTGGTAGAGACAATGCTTATAGATTTGTAACTAATTATGTAAAGTATAAGCACAAAACCAAGCCAGATGTTGGAGCCAGAAGCAGAAGAGCCAGCCAGAGGGTTGCTTATGATGGGACCTGTATTGAAAGCAGGGATTCCCAAGTACTGGGGTACACTGTAAAGGATTTTCCAAATAACAGTTACCATTTTAATGACATCTTCTAGACTTTCAAACAACAACAGCAAATGTAAGGATAAATGGCCCAGCACTGGCTGCTCTTGCAGAGGACCTGGGTTTGGTTCCTAGCACCCACATGGCAGCTAACAACCATCTGTAACTCTAGTTTCAGGAGATCCAGTGCCCTGTTCTGTTCTCCACGGGCACTGCTTGCACACATGCAGGCACAACTCTCATTCACACAAAATAAAAATCAAATAAATATAACAAACATTTTTAAACCTCAGAATACCCCAGTTCTCAAGTTTTTGATAGTAAAAAGTATGACAAATATGTGTTACCCCAGTTTTTACTAATTGTATGGATAAAGCCACAAAATAATAAATGTCTATGGATTGTAGAGTGCTTGCCTAGCACACAAAAGGTCCTAAATTCAATTCCCAGCACACACAAGAAATAAAAACCAGAGTAGATATCTACCCTTTTCTGTAAGTTGTATTTAGCCACAGCATCTGGCCCTGTGTATATGTATATGTTGCATGTGTATATACATATGCAAGTCATAAAATATGTAGTATGTATAATATATAGTCACTCTAGTCTACCAGATTAGATCTTATGTGATCTGGCAGGTAGTTTTGAATGACTCCTTGGAAGACATAAACCATCTTCTTTAATCAGGAAGGTATAAAAAAGTGGTATGAGGAAGTGGGTACATCTAACAAGGACAGTAAGGTACTAGGACATTCGTACACATTCAAAAATTTTATTTGAAGCATAGTAATGTGCTTTTGTAAGTTGAGACACATGGGAAGTTTCCACATCCTTTAGGAGAGTTTTTAATACAAAGGAGCAAAGAAAGCAAGTTGACTTTTGTGCTTCTTTGGAGAAAGCACATAAGTATTGGTTGAAAGTTGGATTTATGAAGAACACTGGCTTGTAAGAGTATTCTAAAACTTACCCTTTGAAGTCACTGAAAGCTGTTTAGTAACATATCAAAATAGTTTTATGAAAAGGTAAATATGTGTTTCATTAGTGCTGCAATTTCTGAAATGTAATTTTAAAAATAATGTCATTAGATAAAATTCCTGCTTTCTTAGGATGGAAAAGAAGGGGGACTAGGAGCTAGTTTTTCAAGCTATTTGTGATTTAATACCAGCTGGTTGAGTGAGTTGAAAAATCTTGAGTCATATGTTGTATTATTCCAAATGCCTTTTCCCTCTCTTGGAAGCTGGCTAACTCTCAGTCTTTCTCCCATGGTAAATTGCTCTCAAACTTTGATCTTCTCAAGCCAGTTTCCAGATGTAGCTGACAGAACACATGTGACCTTTTGTGTGCCCGTTCCACCCAACTGATGGGAAACCATAAGTTAATTCTTGTTTGACTTTTATTTCTAGGCATCACAGCAGAAGTTCTAGTAGTGACTTCTTTTGACGAACTACAGAGAAGGGCCCCAGAAGCAAGAGGGAAGATTGTTGTTTATAACCAGCCTTATGTCAGCTATGGGATGACAGTGCAATATCGGGTACGGGGTGCTGCAGAAGCTGCCAAGGTGGGGGCCGTGGCATCCCTCATCCGATCAGTGACATCACTCTCCATCTACAGGTGGGTCATCGTGTTTATATGAAATCTTTTTAAAAACTGGTTTTCCAATAAAGAGAAGAATAAAAATACTGATTACTCATGGAATTCCCTTCCATTCCACATTTAGTCATTTGACATATCTTCTTTGTCCTTTTAAAAAAATTCCAAACATCATTTATGCATTACCTTGAAAAGTTTTCCATATTCAAAATGATCCCATACCATCTTTTATATAACTAATATGCTATGCATTTTCATTGGAGGGTGTTCATGTCTGTTTCATCAAAGATTCTTAATGACTGCAGAGGATGCCGGGCTTTTTCCATGTTGCTAGAGAAGTGAAGTAAAAACAGAGGCAGTACATTATAAGGAGTATTCCTGGTGTCATAAAAGAGCTTGGGGACCAGAGGACCTTCCTGAGTAGCATGTGAACAATTTATGTTTCTTTACCATCTCTGCCTCTGTAATTCTGTTTTGACAAGTGAATGATAATATGTATAAAAATGATTTTAAGATTAAATGAAGTAAACTTATGGAAGATACTTGATGATCTGTACAGGTCTGTATAAATGTTTAGTGGTATTGTTTGAGGCTTGTCTTCTTTTCAATCTTGATGAGGTAATGTGAAAATAATTTTGTTACTCTTAATTTTTAAAAATTTTATTATATGTGTATGAGTGTTTTGCCTGCATCTGTGTATATGCATGATGTGCATGCTTGGTGCCTGTGGAGGTCAAAGGTGGGTGTCAGATCTCCTTGAACTGGAATTCCAGATGATTGTGAGCTGCCATGTGGATGCTGGAAACCGAATCTGAGTCCTCTGCAAGAGCAAAAGTGCTCTTAACTGCTAAACCATGTTTTTAGCACCTGCTTTTAATTTCTTTCCAGAGGTCCATTCTGCCCTCGCTTCTTTCTTGAAATAGGGTTTTGCTATGTTCTCCAAACTGGTCTAGAACTCTTCAGCTCAAGTTATTCTCTTGCCTCAGTCTTTTGAGCAGGCGGAACTGTCAGCAGGCACTTAACTTACCAGGCCAAGATACTTCATTGACTTTAACCCTAGGAAAAAAATCAGTATTGCAGTAAATAAAAGCTCTAAAATTTGAGTCATATACATTTAGCTTACTTCATAGCCATATATGGTGCTGTTGAACATTACAGATGAAATACTTGAGAAACACAGATACAAGAAGCACCATCTTAATGTTATAGGCTGGTCTGAGATTTCAAATAAATGTAAAAATAATTGCTGAAAGAGTTTACTTGGATCCCAGAGCTGGATTTTATTTTTATTATGAAGAAAAGCTTATTCTTCATAATCATTACTTGGAACTGAAGACACAGCTGGTTGACCTTAATTAACACTCTTAACCCCTGAAAATAAAATCACTGTCAGCTGCTGGGATCTACAGTCAGAGAGGAATTATATAAAAATGCAAAGTAAAGGATAGAGACTTTTTTTTATTTTAGAGGGATTAAATGTCTTCCCTGGGGAGGAAGATGGAACAGGTTAGAAAATACTTCTTAGGAGTTTTATGAGAGAAGTCATAGTTACATCTGTGCCCCAGTGCTAAAAATAGTGTTCTTTATAAAGTCTTTAATGGTTTCATGACTAGTGAAATAATGATCTGACCATATTCTTTCAGATGGTTAATCTTCCCAGGAGAGGATCCCTAAAATGGCTAGCTTACTTCCCAGAATACCTCAGCTACCCCTTAGAATAACACACTCAGCAAGCTGTGGTCATTCACCATGATTTCACTGGTCATGAGGCTTAAATTATGGAATGAGTCTGAAGCTCTGTGAAACTGGGAGGTTGCCAGAAATCTTTATTTAAGAACTACTATTCATAATACTAATAAATTCCCAGATGACTTAATGCACAGTGATCTGCCAGAGCTTATTGGCATTTTTTTTTTTCTTGGCACAATGAAGACATCTGGAAACCTAGGCCTGGAAATAAGAATTACCCAGTATGGGACTTCAGAAGGTTAGCATCTAAGGCTTGGGGTCAGCAACTTGTAGTGCAGTAAAGTAACTTTTTCTTCACATTTCTAGGTCTAGACTGATTATATCTTTTCATTATTTTATAGTCAAACATATTTCACTGGACTCTTAATTTTATAACTCCATTTTTGCAATATTTATGGATGCAAAATAACCTTAGCCTCTACATGGTTTCTTTGATTACCTTCATATAGTCACTTGTGTGACAGCAACCTGAACCATGTGGCTAGGACATATTATCTCCATTTATAGGTAAAGAAACAAAACTTCAGAGAGTTAGACACATGAAAATGTTTAAGTTTTTCATCCAGAAAAGTAAACACAAGATGAAGTAAACTCTGTTTACTTATAGCTTATGGGTTTCAAAAACAAGTTTCTATAAAGTCCACCTATAATTCATTGTCATTCATTCAATCTACAGACTATATTTTTTTTTGGTCTTTTTGAGACAGGATCTCCCTATATAGCCCCAACTGGCCTGCAACACACTATGTAGACCATGCTGGCCTCAGTATCACAGAGATTCTCCTGCCGCTGCCTCCTGAGTGCCGAGATTAAAAATGTGTATCACCACTCCGACTACAGATTATTTTTAATATGGCTTTTGTGAGTATTGAAAGGGAATTTGTTACAGTCACAACAGCCATCTACTTCTCAAATAGAATGGATTTTTTTGAACCATTGTCTTTACCTTTCTGGAGTACTTGTCACTATTGAATGCTTTATCAATATTTCTTCTCCTTGGCTCTTGTGATTTCTTTTCGAAATCTACCTCACCCTAATTCGTCCTACTCCTTTTCCTTCCCTTTTGTTAGCAGCTGACCTAGTGTGTTCTACCTAAGCATTCCTAATGTGTTTGTGGCTTTTGCCATCATGTTTATTGTCTCAGTTTCCAAGCTCCTCTCCCATCCATACCACTGCATGAGCTCTAGGCTCATAGATCCACCTGCCTGTTTATTCTTCTGGGTGTTCTCTATCTATGTTAGTTTGAGTTTTCAAAATCGATCTCATCCTTTTCACCTCTTTCTCTTGCATTTTCTATCTCAATAAAAAGAATGTCTGTCCTATATGCCAGGTTGGCTTAATTATGCTTTTTCTCTTTCTCTGTCTTCATTTCCAGTAGTCACTAAGTCTCTTGGTTTTTGCCTTTCATCAAGCATTTCAACCATTGCAAGTGCAACAGCTCCATTTCCCAGCAGTACTCCACTTCCCAGCCTTGCAAAACAATCACACTTGCTTACACAATGCAGTACCTCAGTTTCAGGACATTGCACCTTTTCCCCTCTGTTATCCTCATTTACTTTACTACTGTCACATACTAACCTCCAGTGCTTATCTCAGATATTTTACTGGTGAATGCCCTCTGATACCCCGTTGCAGCCAGGTAAGCTAGGTATTTCCATATCATCTTGTCTGTATTCCATTCCCAATGTACTGGAGGCAATTTTGGTAAGACAGACTAATGTTAACCAGTGACTCCACATCTCAGTTACTTGGAAATTGGCTTCTTTCTCACAAAACAGTTCAGCAGGTGGCAGTTGCTTCTTTCCATCTTGTGACTCAACATTTCAGAGATCTCAGAGTTTTTTGCATGTTGCTGGTAAAAAAGCCAATAAAAGACTGATGACCCAGAGGGAGGCTTTTTCATGGTTATGCATATCTAGGCCTGGATGTATCATACCCATGTCAATTCACATTCTGCTAGTCAGAATGCCATTATATGGAAGCTGGGAAATCTGTTTTTGTTTTTTTTTTTTAAAGCAAGTAAATTAATTTTTTTTTAATTTTCAAAATGATTTATTTAATAACAACATACTTAGAAGAAGCATATCATTACAACACAATTGACATATTCAATAACGTTTTCCTGAGGTAGGATGCATCTCTTTCAAAATTGGCTGTAAATTTTTAGGTTTACAGTT